TGTATAATACTGTATAATTTTATTTTAAGAAAATTCTGTACATTGCTCTCTCACACACACACACAGAGAGAGAGAGAATTATATATATATATGTGTGCGTGTGTGCGTGTGTGTGTGTGTGTATGTATGTATGTAGTACAATATATATGTTCCACAAGATGTTATTATGTAAAAATGTATGGATGAACTAATAGTTTTCTTTAAAAGCTTGTTTGTAGTTTGAACTATTTTTGGTGACGGGCTAAGTTTAGTGGAGCTCATTCTTACTTCTGAGGTTGTGCATAGGGTGCTGTGCAATCCTATGTTTGGATAACAACATTTTAAGAAACAATTTTCAGAAAAATAAGATAAAAGGCAATTGAATAGATACGGATTTAAAAAGAATTATAACTTCTAGGTAGGAACTGTTGGAGATCAGCATCCCCTCCCCCCCATTCACAGGTAAAATCCATGGAATAATTGCTGCCCTTACCTAGTTAGAATTTAGTTTTTGATGATAAGTTGATTAATAATTTACTTGAAGTATATATTTTCTGGGCATCTAAATTAGTTTACATTGGCTGAAGAATCTTAAGTAGGTGGGCCATAACATGTACTGTTTTCAATGTTGTTGATGCCCTATTTAAAGTTCAAAGTCACTGTGCAGCAATGGGCTTGAAACTTTGATGTTCTTTCCCATGATCTTATTTTGGCCTTTGTTTTAAGACTTGTTCTAGACTCTTCAGGGAAAAACACAGACTTGGTTTAAGGATTTACTTACAGGTAGTATGTTTGCTTCCAGTACACTTTTCCTCATCACATCCAGTGTGCAGCACAGCTTGAATGATTAGTACTTGGATGTTAGTCCAAAACAAAACAAAACAAAAATACCTGGGCTATAGGCTAGAAGAAGCAAACATTTCTGCACAGTGACCAAGTAAATTACACTGCTGTGTCAATGTAAATCACCAAGAACCAAGCTTGACTGGAAGAAACTTAACACAAAGATAATAAGACAAGCAATAAAGATGGCTCCTATGTGGAATAAATCTAGTTGAATCCAAATATGCAAAAGTACTAGTCACCTGGACAATATTCATTTGCATACTTCTATCGTAAACAACAGCAAATTGAATGACACATAGCACTATTGGTTCATTGGAGAAAACACTGAAAATCCATCCCAAACCACAGGTGGATGATACTTTATTAAAACCCATAAAATTAACTCAAAAGTGTGTGTCACTTTCTCGAGAACTCTTCCTGGACAGGATTAATCGCTTCCTATTACACAGATGTGGGACTAAACTGGTAACTTTTCCAGTCTTTCCCCATAGTTACCTGATTGTGTTGAGCGGAGGATTACACATTCGAATCACTGCCACTTCAGAAGCTCCCCGCATATATTCAGCCATAACCTTCCTTAGATTGTTGCCAAACAGCAACAACGAATGCTGCAAACTTATTTGGGCAATAAGGGGGAGACCCACACAATTTGGACGAAATCCAGCTGGAGATGGGCGTTGCTGTTTTAGAGCCGCGCGCGCATTAAGAGGGAGGTTCCAACTGGAGCAGGAAATCCTGGCCGAAGGCAAGTCTATGTTTAAGAGCAGTCTAAATTCTCTGGAGTCGATTTAACGCGAAAATTATTTATTTTAAATTAAGGCGGCAGCTTCTTTTTTTACACCGGGACCGCTTTCCAGCAAAGAGATCTATCGAAAGAACAGTAATGGGGACTGAAAAATTACAAGATCACATGTCTGTTCCATTAAAGTCAGTGCAAAATACATATAAATAAGAAATGGGATGGGATGATGTATCATATGGGTATTTCTATTGTAAATGTCTTCGTATGCCTTTTTTTATTTAAAAAGATTTTCTTGGATTTTTTTGGTGTGGTTTTGTGATTTCGGATAATGGTGAACAGCTTAGATTTACTGCTTGTATATGCCTAAATAACGGAATAAATGGAAATAAAATAGTAATAGTGATATTTTCTTTAATATGTTTATTCTTTCATTTTTAAAAAACAAGTATTTTGAAGTCATTTTAGGCCATCTAAAATGCACAGATACATAATTTAAGAGGAAGGAATACCTATGCATGTTAAGGGATGCAGCTTTTGCACTTATGACTGTTCGGACTGAAATGTATTATTTGCAGCTGAGAACAATCATTCCAGTCATTAATTGTAGTTCAGAATGGCCAACTAACTTTTTCAGACAGTTTATCAAACATAGGTGCAGAACTTACTAGACTGCAAAGATAAAGTGTAAATCCAGTACTTGTAAAGGTTTCCTAGATTAAATCCTGAAGATCTTGTTCCCTAATAGAAACGGAGATGAGCACCGCCCCCTGCAGTTGGTAGACTTTCGGAGTAAAGTCCGCAGGGACTCCTTTATCTTTTTGATTCCCTAATATCATATAACAGCTATATACTATAGGTATTATTGTGTAGATAAACATCCTATTGAGTTCAGTGGGTTATTTGCAACTGGAACACACAAAACAAGTGCAGACTTATTTTTAATTATCCAGTTGATTGGAATTAAACAACTGATCAAATTGAACAAGTCACTTAAAGGAATGTCAGTAACTCTTGCTGAGGCCCATTCCACTTCACCTTTCTTATTACGTAGAAACCCAAAATGCACCAAAATAGGCAATTTGGCTCCAAAGCGACACTATAAAACTTAGGAGTCTGAGCCGAGAGTGGAAGCCACACATAGGTAAATGCTTTATATTTTTCTCTCAATAATTTGAAAATCAGCAATGAGGAATAAAAACACCTCTGACTCAACATTTCTCTTTTCTACATTTAAGGATTTTTGTTTTCAAATTCATCAACATAAAAAATATCAACTCAGACAACATGGCACAGTACTATAATGTACAGTACTATAACCTTTTGACTTGGAAGACAAGAGAGCATCTTTTGCACTGTCCCAAAGGTGCTTTTTTCAGGAGGCAACTGGACTTTCTTGTTTTTTCTTTTGAAGACATTTCGCCTCTCATCCAAGAAGTTTCTTCAGCTCTGACAGGATACAGAGGAATGGAAGGATTTGTATTTCTTGCAGACAACTGGTTATTTGCATCCTTTTATAAAGGCACTTGGAGGTTTACCTGTATCCTCAGGGTCACCTGAGTAATGCTCCTGGTTCCTGTAGTCTGCAATTTTTCCTCTGGAAATCCATTCCTACTTCCACACCATTCAAAAGGTGTTCATCCCAAATTGTATTGCTAAAAGTCTAGAGATTGTCAGTCATGGTTGTCCCAAAGGTGCTTTTTCCAGGAGGCAACTGGACTTCCTTTTCCTTTTGAAGACGTTTTGCTTCTCAATCAAGAAGCGTCTTCAACTATGACAGGATAGTGGGGAATGGTAATAACAAATAAATAATAAATAATAAATTACCAGCTGTCTGCAAGGAACATAAATACTTCCATTCCCTACTATCTTGTCAGAGCTGAAGAAGCTTCTTGGTTGAGAAGTGAAACGTCTTCAAAAGAAAAAAGTTGCCTCCTGAAAAAAAAAAAGCACCTTTGGGACAACCACGACCTGGATGATTGAGAATCTCTACAGATCTTTTGCACTGGTTCGTGAGACTAGGAGGATATCTCGGGTTTATTTATGCGAATGTGTCACCAGGGTTACAGTGAAGAGCTTGTCGGGCTTGGCATTGCGTTAACAGTGATTCAATTCAAACACTTCAAGCCTCGCTCCTGAATTCCACCCCTCGCAAACGACCACAACACTCCTGCAACCTTAGCTACGGGGTGAGGGCATAGCCGGAAGTACATTATCAAACGCGAATTTATAGGAGGCAGCGCAAAAGCTGTATCCTTTTCTGTCAGGTGATGCCGGAAGTGACGCAATGTTGACGGCCCGGCAGGTGGGAGGAGGACCAATGGCCGACGGTGGCCGATTTAAGACGGCGTCCAGGCGGTAAGTAACGGGCGCCGCGAAATGAGCTCTTCGGGAACGCGCCTCTCTCTTGCTATGGCCGAGGCCGGCGGCTTCAGTTTGCGAGGGCATCGGGAGGCGCTTCGGGATATTCAGGGCTACCTGCGCTGTTTTATTTTTGGCTTTGCTGTGTCTTGTTAGCCAAAGGAGCGTTTTCACCTTTGACATGGATACCTGGCTACGTGGTAGGGGCAGGACCGCCGTAGTCATTGCAGCACCGGGTCTGCAGATTCGCACCACCAGGTGCACATCATCACCTGTGCCCGTTATTGATCAGACTGAAACCAAAGCATGTTTGTGACATTGTTTGCACAGTTAGGAATCTTTGCTGGAAAGCGGTCGTGCCCGTTTTCTACGGATTTGCGGGGTCGGGGGAAACGGACGGCGGGAAGTAGAGGTGTGATTATATTTGAGAATAAAAATATGTTATAAAGCCTTACACATCCCACAATATGTTATTCTGTAGTATAAGGAAAGCATAGCTATCTTAACCCCATTGGGGGCGGGGAGGTAGTTCAAACTGTAGCGATAGGTTTCACTAAGTTCAGTGGGGCTAATTCCTAGGTAAGCATGCAGAACGTTTTATCTGCTGAATAAAATGCATGCTGGTGATAACTCCACTTAAACGTCCTTGCTCTATAAAACTTTGGGATATGAAGGAATACTGCTCCCTAGCAGGAATAGCATAACACATATTCCTCCAAGGCAAGAGTAAGGTAAAACATGTCCATGTATGAGTAAGAAACTTAGTTTAATTAATAGTTCTGTTTTGATAGAACATGATTTGATCGTTGTATATGAATTGGCCCACATTAACTATATTCTCACAGTTCTAACAAGACCTAGGTTAACGAAATCCAAGATTTTGTCTGTGTTTGACATGAAACCTGGAGCAAAAATAAATGAATTGGAGATTACTTATACTATTGTGTGTTTTCTCACTGCCTTGTTTTTTTTTTCTATTGTGAGTGAATACCTAAACAAGATAAAGGATGTGAGTTATGTTTGAAATGGAGTACTACTGTAAAAGAGAAGCTAGCATTTTTAATATAGGGAGGCACAAAAAATTATATCAAGCATTTGGTATATTCCACTGAAACTGTATTTTGAAAGTGATGCAAATATGACTACCCAAATAACTCGGACAATTATCTCTGGAACATTTTGTAATGCTTTTTCCAGTATGCTTGCAAAACAGAAGTAATTTTATAAAATGAGAATGACTTTCTAATTTGTTCTGATCCTGTACTCATCTATTATACTTTTAAAGGAAACCTTTGTCTTGAATTTATTTATACAATTTTAAATGCTAGCTAATATATTCCTATTGCCTTGGCAAAAGGATTATTATTTATTTGCTATATTTTCTGTTATAATTCTGTTCAGAAGATCTAAATTAATGCACAAATACTAAGCTAGAAATTCTATTTTGTTTAAACTTCTCAAGTTACTCCAAGTAAGAAAATGATTGTCAATATATATAATGGTTATATTGTTTATAGCTGAACCTGAAATCTTGATTTATTCTTAAGTTTTTTCCTAATTTGCAGGAGTGTGCTGCATGAGCTGTTAAAGAAAACATTCAGCTAAATCACAGTTTCTTGCTTCTTTTCTCGATTCCTTATCCTCTTAACAATAATTCATGACTTGACTTTTTTCACTGAGTCATGACTTCCAAACTTAAATATTGTGTCCATAAAGTATAACAGAAACAGTTATTGTGGAAAACAAATAATAGTGATCAGAAAAATATACTCAGGAAAAATATATCCTATGTAAAAATCCCACAAGCACATCCACTGACTGACGAATAACATGTATATATGCTGCCACTTTGTACAAGCAGATTTTTAAGATGGATTTACCAAACCAGGTCCTTTTAATAAAATATAGACGTAAATTCCTAGCTGTTGTATGTAGCAGAAAAAGAGAAAAGGTTACCTAAGCATGTGAGGCTCCAGTAAAAGCTACTGCGTATCTTGTAACACAAAATATGTAAATAGCGCAAATTATGCAATTTACACCTGGTATATCATGATGAAAATCATGTACACAGTACACAATTTGCATCAATATTGTCTTAAAATATTATCCTGCAATACTTTTGCAAATTTTATGTGTGTGCACCCAAGTACAGGTAAAATACATACTCATTAAAGAAACCCAGAATCACATAATGCACAGCATAGGTAGTAAGACATCATACAGTAAATAGTATGCCTATATTAATTAATGGATTTGCTTTGGTTTGGTCACCCAATTTGTTTTGTCAAATTTTCCATCTCCACTAGTACTGGTAATTTGAAGCTCAATGAGTTTGAGATTCCCTGAGGGATTTGGTAAAGCTATGAAGTCTGGAATATCTTTGGAGGCCAGTGGTTAGGCACCTTCAATGCACACTTAGGACAATCCTGCACCATTTTCTTAAAGTGCCAAATCTAGAAATGCTTTGACTAATGCTGTGTGAGGGTGCATTAAAGTTCTACAACATTTACCAAATAAGCTTCTCTTTCATAGCACAAATTCTGCAGGAGAAAGCTAGGAGGAGTTTCAGGCAACCTGAGGCAATGGCATAGCAACATGGTTACTTTGTATCAAGGACAGGGGTGGGATCCGACAGGGTTAACTACAAGTTCGGTGATTTACGAGGTTCGGTGATTTACGATGTGCTTCCCTGCATGCTGCTGGCGTGTGCCTGTAAATCATCATCAGCATGCTGCGTGCAGAGAAGCAGTCTTTCAAAAAGCCCCTTTTTCTTGTTTTTTTAACTGCAGCTGTGCCTTGTTCGGCAGCTGAAGTTGAAAAATCAGGAAATAAAGATCAGGTAAAAGCCCAGGTGGGTGGGTGGGCAAAAACATCAGCAGACATAGAACCGGTTCTATTTCTGCTGCTCTTCAGAGCTACCGGTTCTACAGAGGTGGACAGAACCAGTAGAAACCCACCCCGATCAAGGGTCTTCAAACTTGGCAAGTTTAAGACTTGTGGACTTCAACTCCCAGAATTCCTCAGCTAACATGACTGAGGAGGAATTCTGGAAGTTAAAGTCTATAAGTCTTAAAGCTGTCAAGTTTGAAGACCCCTGTTTATATAAAGAACTCAAGGAACCATGGTGCTGCATGAAGCAGCTTTTGTAGCAGTGGAGAACTGTCTGAGCTTGCTGAATCATATTGGTATTCGGTATCAACCAGGAAGACACTGTTGTCTGCTATAGTTCTTACACTGAAAATATTCTGCTTCTAGAGGCAAACATGCACTAACTTTATTTCAAATTAATTGCACTGAAAATTAGTTAACCTATTATATGTTTGATGCCATGTCTCCAATACAATGGCTTTTTAAAAAAATTGGTGTGGTTGAGTTAGTTTTTGACTGGCAGTTTTCTTGTCAAGGTTTTTTGGGAGTGATTTGCCATTGCCTCCTTTCTACGGTGGAGAGAAAGTGACTGGCCCAGGCAGGGCTAGAATTCACAATTTGTAGTTTCTAGCTTGGCCTCAATCGCTGAAGCACATTGACACTCTTACTAATGGCTATTTGTGTATATATTTTGAATGTTTTAATACAATTTAATATATTTTATGTATTTAATTATTTTTCACATTTCTGAACTGCCTATTTCCTTTCAAGTGGGACTATGGGTGGTGTATAATAAAGCATCAAAATATAAAAACAATATTAAAAAACTAAAATCTTAAGAGTTAAAATTTTACAATTAGAAATTTTAATTTAAAAATAATTGAGGCAAGAATAATTAGACCCTGTTAAAATTATTTGCCAAAGACAACTGGCACATAACATGGAGTTGAGCAAAGGCCTTCCTAGCCAGGGCTACCTTACTTTTTGAGCAAGAACTGGAGTCCAAGATGTTCCCCAAGTTATGCACCAGGTGTATCTGGGGTATGCAACACCATCCAAGACCAAGATGATAAACTCCTGAATATAGAGGAGTCCACCCACAGCCACTTTGTCTTAGCAGGGGTCAGCTGAAGTCCGTTGTTCCCCATCTAGGTCTTTACAGCCTCCAGGCACTTCAAAAGAATGCCCAATAACACATTTCACCCATATATCTGGGACACACATATATAGAGAGAACTGGTGATACCTCATCCCTTGGCAACAGATGATCTCACCTAGATGTTTCAAGTAGATGTTAAAAAGGAATGGAGAGAATATCAAGACTTGTGATATTCCTCAAAGCAGGAGCTGTGAATTGGACCTTTCACTTCCTTTTAATACTGATTGGGACTGGCTTCAGAGAGAGGAGATAAAGACGCACAAAACTGCCTCTCCCTTATTTTCTAAGTGGCCCCCAAAGGATACCATGGTCAATAGTATTGAAAGGTGCTGAGAGATCAAGAAGAGCAAGATGTATGCACTACCACCATCCCACTCCCATCAGAGATCATCCAATACTATTTTGGTCTCGTATCCGGGCCTGAAACCTGACTGAAGCCTGATCCAGAGAATCTATTTCCTTCAGGATCCTCTGGAGTTGCAATGCCGCCATCTTCTCAACCACCTTTCCCAAAAAGGAGGGATAGGAAATTGGACAAAAATTGTCCAGAATAGTAGGCTCCAGTGATGGCTTCTTGAATTGGAAAAAAAACAAGCTGGGAACACTTCCTCCAACAAGAATAATTTTTCATTGCTTGGACCCACCACATGATATCTTTTGTGCAGCCTTAACCAGCCAGGAGGAGCATGTATCTAAAATTGGTAGCATTTGCATTCCACTGAACTTTGTCCATTTCCTTACGTCCAATTAAATCATTGCCAGATAACTAGATAGTTCTGCTCTCTGGGCATCTCTGTAGAACTTGCACCATACTTGATATTCAACTGGAAGAAATCCAAGTGATTTTATCCTCCAGATGCCTGAACAATTCCTCTGCATGACTCTGTAGATGGACTTCTAGGCCCCCTCTTCTAAGGAGAGGGTGACCCTAAAGTGGATCAATGGGTAGCATTCTACAGGTGCAATAAGAGTGAAGTATTGATACTAGGCTGCTCTTACTGCCACAAGGTAAACCTTAATAGTAGCCTTAACTCATGTTTGGTTGAATTTGTTCTTCGTTTTCCCTCAGTGGTGCTTTTAGGCATCTCTTTTCAACTATCTCCATTCCTCTGCAAACCACGGGGTGTAATGGGAGTGATGGGCCAGAAGAGACTGCCAAGGTGCGGTCCTGTCTAAGGCTCTGGCTGATCCCTTATTCCAGGCAGCTCCCAGCCCTCTTCAGGACCATGTAGCAAACTGGAAGGTATTTCTCCCAACTTCTTTTGAAATCCAGTTGGATCCATTAGTCAACAGGCGTGCATCAATTGAATGAGTGCAGTCTCCATATGGAGTGGGGGGAGTGCAAGAGAATCTCAAAGTGACCAGGGTGTGATCTGACCATTACTGTGATCTCTCAGACCACATTGTCTCTCTCAATAAGAAAACCAAGTCCGAATAGAATGACCTGTGAAATACAGATCTAGAGATGTATAATATAACAATGTGGCACAGAAATATGTCATAGCAATAATATATGTAAGTTATAAAGAAATAAAGCAAACTCTGACAATGTTACATGGTAATATCTTTGGCTAACTCTACATACATTTAACTTATTGAAATTGCCTTCTAGTTTGCCCAAATCCACATTTTGGGAGGGAGTGTCAGGCAGACGCAATCAGCAGGAATGCAATAAAATGAGCCATGAATTGTTGCCTGTGTATTGGAATTCACGATTTGAGAATGGTAAGTGATTACTTTTTTACTTGGTGTAATATTCTAGAGACATAAAACATCTTTTGAAAAGTAAATGTGCAGGTAGTCCTTCACTTAGAATAGAATAGAATAGAATAGAATAGAATAGAATAGAATAGAATA